GAGGAGTGGTGCCTCGGTGCGCACCCGGGATCCGAACCCGGGCCGCCGGCAGCGGAGCGCACGCACTTAACCGCTAAGCCACGGGGCCGGCCCCCCCACAGTATTTTTTGTATCTAACATATTACATGTTTTATCAGTTTATTGTCTGCCTATCCCCACCAGAGCTCCATTAGGGCAAGGATTTTTGTTTGTTCACCATTGTATTCTCAACACCTAAAATAGTTCCTGGATACACAGTAGACTTTGAATGAATATTTGTTGAGTAAACAGATGAAGGGTTGAAAGATAATTTGAAGAAGTCCCTTAGAAAGTAAAATAAAAACACAAGCAATAGAAAATGAGAGAAAGGTGAGAAATATACAGGATTAGTTCGGGAGGTGTATCATATGATGAGTCCCAGAAAACGGAAACAGACCAAATAGAAGGGAGGAAATTATAAGAGAAATGATTGAAAACATTCATGTAGTGCCCAACAGTGAATAAAAAAGAAAAAAAAAATTGACACCAGCGTACAATTTCCAGACACCAGAGAGAAAAAAGAGAGGAAAAAACAGACACATACTAGATTACTTTCAGAATGTGTCCAGATTCCTAAATAACAACACTGAAAATGAGAATTCTAGACCTAGAATTGTGTGTTCATCCAAATGAATTATGAGTGCAAAATTAAAAAATGGAGCACATAGAGTAGTTGATGACTGACCAAATTGAGAGGAATTTTTCAGCTCTGTAGGAGAGTTTAGGGATGAGTTAAACTATGCAGAAAAAGTAAAACACAAAAAATGAGACATGTACATTATAGTACACACCTTGGTTCATTTGTGAACTGTATTTATGTAGCCATAGTAACACAGATATTAATATTGATTGCTCTAAAAATTGTTGTAACTATATTGGGAGGATGGGAGGAGAAGGAATGTGTGTGTAGAAGGTTGATGTGAGTAAGTTAAAATCTTACCTTCCATCATAGCATGTCAATAAATTATGTCTAACATGGACACAGTCAGAATATAGCAAATAAACATATTATTGAGAAATATGGAATGTATTAGTTAGCATACAGGCTAGGATACAAGAGACCCAAAGTACAATGGCTTTAACCAGATAGTCTAGGTATGACACGTGTCAGAGGTTCAGATTTCTTCCATCTTTTTTGCTGTGCCATTCCTAGGCACATTATTCATGTGGTCAGACATGGCTCACCTGTCCACGTCCCAGCTGACAAGAAGGGGAAAGAAGAAAATGGGAAAGCATGCTTCTTTCCTTTTAAGGACAAGACCCAGAAATCGCATGTCACTTCTCTTTGCATCCCTTAGGTCAGAAACTAGTCACATATCCGCTCCTACCTTGGGTTTTGCCTAAAATTTTAAATGTTTTGCTTTTCACACATAGTTATTTAATCTACTTGGACTTCACAGTTTATGTTTTTTTGGAACTTGTGTAAGAAACAAAACCCTGTCTTAATGTTATAAACATGAAATGATGAAGGAAGTACGTCTTAGAACTAAGTGAGAAACTCCTATACCATGATAATGAAAAGATAATAACCCAATTAAAAAATGGGCAAAGGCCCTGAATAGATATTTTTCCAAAGAAGACATGCAGATGACCAATAAGCACTTGAAAAACATAATCAGTATCATTAGCCATCAGAGAAATGCAAATCAAAACCACAGTGAGATACCGCTTTACACTCACTGGCTATAATCAAAAAGATGATAACAAATGTTGGTAAGGATGGGAGAAATTGGAACCCTCATGCACTGCTGGTTGGAATGTAGAATTGTGCAGCCACTTTGGAAAACAGTCCAGTAGTTCTTCAAAATGTTAAACATAGTTACCATATGGCCCAGTAATTCCACTTGTGGGTATATACCCAAGAGAAATGACAACATGTCCACACAAAAACTTGTACACAAATGTTCATTGCAGCTTTATTCATAAATAGCTGAAAAGTGGAAACAACTCATATATCTGTCAATTGATCAATGGATAAATAAAAAGGTATACCTATACAATGAAACATTATTTGGCAATAGAAAGAGTGAAGGACTGATAAATGCTTCAACATGGATGAACCTTGAAAACACTATGCTAAGCAAAAGAAGCCTCTCATAAAGGACCACATATTGTCTGATTCCATTTATAAAAAATGTCCAGAATAGGCAAGTGCATAGAGATAGAAAGTAGATTAGTGGTTGCCTAGGGCTTAGGTGTGTTGGGAGACTGAGGAGTAACTGTTAAAGGGTACCGGGTTTCTTTTGGGGGTGTTAAAAATGTTCTAAAATTTGTTGTGATGGTGGTTGCACAACACTGTGAATATACTAAAACCATTGAATTGTATGCTTTAAATGCATAAATGGTATGCTATGTGAATTGTAGCTCAATAAAACTGTTATAAATACTATATGGGATAACGTTTTACACCCATTAGATTCACAAAAATTAAAAACAGTAATGATATCAAGTGTCAGTGAGGATACAGAAAAACAAAAACCCTTGTACATTACTAGTGTTCCAACCTCTTTGAAGAGCAATATGTCAAACTTAGTAATGTCAAAAATATACAGATTCTATGATCTGGCAATTTCACTTCTAGTATTTACCCTAAAGAAACTGTCACACATGTACAAAAGAGGAAATACTGAAAATAGTTCATTATAGTGCTGAATGTAGTAGTCAAAAGGTTTATTAGTAGGGGACTAGGTAGTCAACTGTGGGTTATTCATATGATATAATACTAAATGGCAGTTCAAATGAATGAATCAAATCTGTATGTATCAATGTGGTTAAATCTCAAACATAATATTGAGTGGAAAAAGTAAGTTGAAAAAGTCTATATATATTTATGTAAACTTTAAAACACAAAGCAATAATATGTTGTTCATGAAATCATACATATGTAAAGTATAAAAACATGCCTAGAAATGATTGTGCTGACCTCAGAATACTGGTTACTTCTGAAGAGGGACAGAGGAGGAATGGTGGCAGAGCTTTATCTCTATTTGCAGCACTTTATTTATTTGAAAGGAAAGACCTGAAGCAAATAATATTAGGGGCTGGCCCCGTGGCGTAGCGGTTAAGTTTGCGCCTTCTGCTTTGGCAGGTGTAGCGGTTAAGTTTGCGCCTTCTGCTTTGGCAGCCTGGGGTTCGCTGGTTCGGATCCTGGGCATGGACCTACTCACCGCTCATCAAGCCATGCTGAGGCAGTGTCCCATGTAGAAGAGCTACAGTTCTACAACTATGATACACAACTATGGACTGGGGCTTTGGGGAGAAAAAAGAAAAAAGAGGAAGATTGGCAACAGATGTTAGCGCAGGGCCAATCTTACTCAGGAAAAAAAAAAAAAAGGAAAGACCTGAAGCAAATAATATTAATATCTGTGAAAAATGAATGGTATGCCATGTCATTTTCTGTATTGTTTGGAATATTTTCAAATATTTCTTATATTAAAGTGAAAAAATGAATCTCTATATTCAATAATACCATATTGGTTTTTTTTTGGTGAACTAACTAAGTCTGACAGATTGGAAACTTTTATTTAAGTATGATACTGCTTTAAGATGAAGGATAGTTTTCAGCTTCACCGCACAAAAGAATTCCAAATCGTTGAGCCATTACAGTTTTATCAATCAGATCATGACGTCTGTGTGAAAGGTTAGTTAGTTCATGCAGGCTTACAAAAGGAAAAATCATTTCTTCACTCTCTCTTCAGTGGCAATTGATCAAATCAGAAAAGGAGAAAGAAAAATGGAGGAAATAATCATTCTTTTACAGTTTATCTATTTCTTAAAAACTTTTGAGGGGCCGGCCCCATGGCGTAGTGGTTAAGTTTGGTGCACTCCGCCTCAGTGGCCCAAGTTCATGGGTTCAGATCCCAGGCGCAGACCTACACCACTCACCAACCATGCTGTGGCAGCAACCCACGTAGAGGAAGATTGGCACAGATGTTAGCTCAGAGCGAATCTTCCTCAACACCACCACCAAAAAAAAAAGGAAAAACTTCTGGTGTAGACTTTTTTAAAAGGCTATATATTTATACTGTTTTCCTCATTGTTGGAACACTGGACTTCGTAGGTAAGAATTCACATCCTCCTGCTGCCACTTATTAGTTATGATTTGGGACATATTACTTAACCTTTGTGACCCTCAATTTATTATCCATAAAATGAGTATAATTAAGATTAAATGTGAAAATGTCTACATAATAAATAAATGTTATTTGAATCTGAAATTAGGTGAATCTGCGTCTTCATAAACTTGCCATTATGGAAATGAGCCTTTTGGATGTGTGACTTTTTGTTTCTTTATACAGAGAAATCAACAACTGATGATGAAGTGCAGAAATCAGACATCTCGTCGAGTAGTCAAGGAGTGATAGAAAAGGAATCCTTGGGACCTCTTCTTTTAGAGGTAGCTGTTCTCATTGACTCAGAAAGCGATCAAAATCTTTGTTCTAGCCAGTTTGGTTTTTTATCTTCTTTTATGTCTTGCGTCCAATGAATAAATTATAAAAAAATTACTCAAGTTTTAAAGAACTTTTAATAATTATTTTATTTTGGAAACTATTTGACGGTTGTTACTATTTCAGAATTAAATGTGATTATGAACACAATAAATTTTCATAAAGGCATTCTAAATATTCAAATAGAAAACTGAAGCCTACAGTATGGCTCTGCCATTTATTCCTGGGGTGGTTAGGACTCATTGGGAAAATAAAACATCAGAATTATCTAGCCAGCTAATGCTGTCTATGCCTACTGTAGAATTTCACTTTAGAGTAAGGAATGCCTCACTTTATTGCAGTAGGTGTTTTGGTGAGGAAGGTTGGCCCTGAGCTAACATCCATTGCCAATCTTCCTCTTTTTGCTTGAAGAAGATTGTCCCTGAGCTAACATCTGTGCCAGTCTTCCTCTACCCTGTATATGGGATGCCGCCACAACATGGCTTGATGAGCGGTGTGTGGGTCCGTGCCTGGGATCCAAACCCATGAACCCTGGGCCGCCAAAGCAGAGCGTGCGAACTCAACCACTATGACACTGGGCTGGCCCCTGGACTAAAAAATTTTTAATTGTTTATGAAAACATTGTAAGAGACCTTACAGTTTTAACAACCATCTATCAAACTTTTTAAAGTGAAGAACTTTTAAACTTGAATTACTTTGTAATTACTTTGTAATTTTAGTCCTTGCTTTTAGCTTCTAATCTTTACTTCTCTTATTCTCAACACAGATGTTTTGTTTCCGAGCAGGCTCATCACCTTAAATGCTCCCTCTCATACATGAGTGTTTAAAAACACGCATATATATATGTGTATATACACACTCATTCCCCATAGTGTATACTTTTCTATCTCTAGGCCTAATTTTATATATATATATATATATATATATATATAGAATAAATTATCCTTTTCTTGTCCTATCTCAAGGCCCTCCTTTCTGGTACAGTCTTAACAACTCAAACTTCTGTAGGTCTCTTTATTTTCTAACTCCTTAATACATTTTTTTCCTGTTACCCTGACTATTCGTCTGTTTTTGTATTAACCATAATTCCCTCTACCAACACTGCTAATGTGAGAACATTCTCAAAATTCGCTTCTTGGTTTTATAGCCCCAGAAATATCATGTATTCTCTTTGCTTCACCTCTCATCTTTGTAGAGATGACACCCAAATATGTCCTTCTTGTTTTAACCTCGTCCCGTACTTCATTCCTATACTTTTAACAGGCTGCTAAATATTCATGACCCTCCTATCAGCAACTTCCCCCTCAAAATCTAAATTCTTTATTTCCCCTCCACATTATTTAAGCACTTTGTCAGATTAGTTTTATAGGAGAATTTTTATTAGGAGAACGAGCACTTATTTTCTAGAATTGTAAAATAGACATTGGCCTTTGAAACTGGATAGAAACTACTCTCTGAGCGAGTGCATACATATAACTGGGAAAGGGGGAAGTTACCACGTGTGATGGCCTCTTAATTTTTTTATTACTATATTCTTTTCCCAACCCATTAAATTGATTACATGACACATGACTGTGTTTTGGAAGCAGTGTTGTAACAGGTATAGTAAAAATGTTAATGGTAGAATCTAGGTGGTGGATATATAGATGTTCATTACAAAATTCTTTCAACTTGGCTGTATTTTGAAATTTTTAATATAAGCTGTTAGAGGAAAATAAGTTAAAGAAAGAAAAATACTTTAGGCTCATTTCCCACTTCTACCCTATCTCTTCCCCGTGCTTGGCACCTGTCACCATCCCGTTACTTGGTTACACTTGGGCCTTTCCTGGAGCCCTGATATATCCTAGCACTTACTGCTTATCTCCTCTACTCTGCAGGATGTTAGTAGACTAGTCTTATCATATCTTCTAGTTTTTCTGTGAGAGTTCTGTCTGCTTTCTTAGTACCCTAAGTTTAAAACTGGACTCAGAACTTTATATCTCCTTTCAATTTATTAAATATTTATTAAATTTATTTTCTGCATATAATGTCATTTGAGATACTGAAGAAGTATAAGGTATAGAAGTCCTTGAGTATAGGATTTCCTGTAAGAAAATGATAGTCATTTAAATCCTAGTTTCACCACATGTTCTTCAGAAACCACAGAGATCAATAGGAGAGCAAATAGATTATTCACAAAGTGAATACTGCACAACTGGAGATCACAAACTGAATACTACACAACTGGAGGCACAGAATACTATTACTACATCTTTAATTTATATAAACATTTGTTACTGCTGTATGAGAAAAGTCCACAACACTAAAATGAACAGAAAATGACAGGAAAATATCCATTCAAAACTACCATAAGAAGAAAACAAGAATTTTTTTTTTAACCGATGAAGTTATTACCCTGAAAACCACTATGCATCAAAGGAAAACTGTTAATGCAACATTACACGTGAATTAAATGTCATTAGGTAAGCATTTTCAAATATGAAAAAAACACATCAAATTAGAAATTCCAGAAACTCAGAATAGAAATATATTTAGGTTCTTGACCTCAAGAAGCTAATAATATTTGTATTTATGACCTGTAGGTATGTGAAACAGAGACTGTAAAATAGAATTACTAACCTTTACAGACTTCAAAGCTCCCTTCACTGACAGCCTTTTCTATTCCTTCTTGTGTATCTCCCAACCCTGTCCTTGTTGTCTTCAACTTTATAGAGTCTAATCCAGGGCAGCTAAAAGAAGAAGTAATAGAAAAGCCACCATGTGGGCCGGCTCCGTGGCTTAGCGGTTAAGTGCGCGCGCTCTGATGCTGGCGGCCCGGGTTCGGATCCTGGGCGCGCCCCAAGGCACCACTTCTCCGTCCAG